AGGACCAGGGTGTGTGTGTGCCAAATTCTGGTTCCTTCTGGATGTGTGTACACTGGGGTACTGCAGATGAGTCTGACTTCAGAAGGAAGGTGTGAGAAATAAAGCACTGATTTCAATTTGAGTTCTGTAGAAATATTTGGGAAGCCTGCTTGGCTGTGTTTTCATGATTAAAAATGACCCCGTGCATGCACTTGACAGGAACATGGGCCACAGCAGGCTTGACATATGCTTTTTGCCATCTCCATATGTTTCATTTAAATCTTAATCCATGGCCTGCTGGGGAAAAGCTGGGTAAGATAGCACTTTGGGGATCACTGTCAGTTGGTCTCCTGCTATTTTCTTAGCCTATGGTATTCACACATCCTCCACTATGAGCTGGAATTGGGCCCCGGGCCTGTGGCATTGCCATAGGGCTGACTGCAGGGGAAAGAAAATTCAAAATGTGAAATGACTTTGTTCAAATGTGAGTCAGGGATGTGTTCAGTCTGTTTACAGAAGGAGGAAATGACATTTGAAGGAAATTGGTTCTGGGAGAAATGCTGTCTTTATATAAGCTTTCAAAATTTAGTAACTGGAGAGTGACGAGGAGAGTGATAGATTGGCTAACTTGCTAAGTCCCCAAACATCCCCTTTGCCCATTATGGTGTGGTGGCCTGGGTCCCAGTCCCGCCGCTTCAATACCATTTGATATGGAACCTCAGTTTCGTCATCTGTAAAATGAGCATAACAGTTGCTTAAGACTGTTTTGTGGATGGGGCGCCTGGGTGGCTCAGTCGGTTGAGCATCCAACTTCAGCTCAGGTCAGGATCCTGCAGTCAGTGAGTTTGAGCCCCGTGTCGGGCTCTATGCTAACAGTTCGGAGCCTGGGGCCTGTTTCGAATTCTGTGTCTCCCTCGCTTTCTGCCCCTCCCCCGCTCACGCTCTGCCTCTCAAAAATTAATAAACGTTAAAAAAATAAAATACTACCTATTAAAAACTGTTTGTTGATATAAAGGATCAGGTTCAGTTCTCCATATACATTATAAACTCAGTATCGAATAGTAGTAATAACAGCAGCTAACATTTTGAAGGCACATGTCCAGCACCGAGTGACATGCTTTTTTCATACTGTCTCACTTATTCTTGGCAATTACGCCACGAGGCCAGTAGAATTATCCCCTAAAATGCCTAATGCGATTAATAATGATAACATAGCACACAGTTCAGATTGGAATAATTCCACGCTTTCTAATCCTGCCTACTCGCTCCAACCCCTTCCCCCGGAGTTTTCACTTGTAGCCAGAGGGCTGGAGATGTTTCACAAGGTGATGGGGTAATAAAGACGAGAGACCAAGAGAGTAAGCATTTTGGAGCTCAAATGCTGGAAGAAGGGTTTGCAGTCAGAGACAAGAGATCAAGTTTTCATGCAAAGAATAACAATTGTGTTTAACTCTCTAACAAAGAGGCTTGTCTGGGGGGAGACAAACACAGGAATCATTCATACACTTCAGTGCTCCCCACCCTCCTTCCCTCTCTGCTTCCCCCTGCTGTAGGGGAGGAGACGGCCTGTTTCAGAAGGAGGCAGGGTAGGGCCTGTTCCCTTGCGGTGGCTTGCAGTCACAGACCCTGTCCCCTGCGTGCAGGCACACGTCCTCCTAGGGAAGTCACAAAGCAGGAGGAGCTGCAGCCCAAACATACGCTGCAGCCAGTAGGATCTGCGCTCTCCTCATTTCTTCCAAATGGACATGGCCTTATCAGATCTTGCAAGAAGAGAATAGTTCTCTTTTTTTCTTAATATTTATTTTGAGAGAGAGAGTAAGCATGGGTGGGGGAGGGGCAGAGAGAGAGAGGGAGAGAGAGAATCCCAAGCAGGCTCCGTGCTGTTAGTGCGGAGCCCGACGCGGGGCTCGATCTCACCGACCGTGAGATCTCGACCTGAGCTGAAATCCGTCAGACTCTTGGTTTTGGCTCAGGTCGAGATCTCACGGTCGGTGAGATCGAGCCCCGCGTCGGGCTCCGCACTAACAGCACGGAGCCTGCTTGGGATTCTCTCTCTCCCTCTCTCTCTCTGCCCCTCCTCTACGTGCTGTCTCTCTCTCAAAATAAATAAACTTTAAAAAATTTACACTACATTTAAAACAAACCAAAAAAAAAGAGTTAGATGCTTAACCAACTGAGCCACGAAGTTGCCCTGAAGAGAACTGTTCTCTGAGGAGGAAGGCAAAGAAGGAGGCCCATGGGCCTTGAAGAACCTCAGGTCTGTGGGGGTTAACGCAGGTCACACGGTTAAACACTCCACTCCACCCACCGAGGAAGGACAGCTCACATGTAGGGGACATAGTGCCTCCTCCATAACAAGGCTGTTTTAATGCTAACTGAAACCAAAGCCGATTCAAGTTTCCCTTCGGCCCTGGGGATGTCACAGCACAGAATTTCAACATTTTTCACTTACACTATCTGTGCTTGGTTCCAGATTCTTTCTCAGTACATTTCCCCCTCCCTGTCATCTCTGCCAATTCTCTGGGTGTGGTAGAAAGGAAGCACTTGCAGCATGGTCTCCAAAATTCATGGAAATATGAGTGACAGTAACACAGTATTTTGAATTGTGTATTGTTTTAAAATAAGAAAGTCAGTTATATTTTTCTCCAGTGGCATTTTGCACCATACCTTTCAAAACAAGTTAAGGAAGGGGCGCCTGGGTGTCAGTCAGTTATGCCTCCGACTTCAGCTCAGGTCATGATCTCACGGTTCGTGGGTTCGAGCCCCGTGTCGGGCTCTGTGCTGACAGCTCAGAGCCTGGAGCCTGCTTCAGATTCCGTGTCTCCCTCTCTCTCTGCCCCTCTCCCACTCACGCTCTGTCTGTCTCTCTCTCTCATAAACAAGCATTTAAAAAAAAAAAAAAAAAACAAGTTAAGGAATACTTTGGAGTGCTGGGATTCTCAGAAGCACCAGAGAGAGAAACACTCAAACTGTGACTTATTTGAGAGCTCAAAGACACTCGATTTTGAGAGGGTGAGATTTAAAACTTACCTTCTGGGGTGCCTGGGTGGTTCAGTTGGTTGAGCACCTGACTCCTGATTTCCACTCAGGTCATGATCTCATGGTTTGTGGGATCAAGCCCTGCATTGGGCTCTGGGCTGAGAGTGTGGAGCCTGCTTGGGAATCTGTCTCTCCCTCTTTCCCTGCTCCTCCCCTGAATGTGCATGTGTGCTCTCTCTCAAAAAAAAAAAAAAAGTAATTAAATAAAATAAACATTTAAAAAGTAACAAAAAAAGGGTGCCTGGTTGGGTCAGTTGGTTAAATGTCCAACTCTTGGTTTCGGCTCAGGTGATGCTCACAGTTTCGTGAGACCTTCACAGAGCAGAGCCTGCTTGGTATTCTCTCTCTCCCCTCTCTCTCTCTGCCCCTCCCCCACTTGCACTGTCTTTGTCTCTCTCAAAATAAATAAACTTTAGAAAAAGTAATAAAAAATGGCATTATACACAATGAGAATCCCAGCTCGGGGCATTTGTGTGTGTGGAAACTGACAAGATGATTAGTTGCCATGAAGATTAAATGAGACAAGGTCTATAAAGTGGCATGCATAGTAGCTACACAAAACTGAATGACTATGTTCTGGCCGCTACGCATTTTCCTTCCTTCATATTCATGTCCACATATATTTTAGGTTTACATAGTTGTAACATTTGTGTCTATACCACATTTGTGTATGCTGCCTAAAGAGCACTCCATCTGGTCAGTAGACTCTACTTCTTTTATAGACACTTTACCATTACTGAACATTTGGGTTGTTTTCAGTGTTTCACCATTATAAATAGTGGCGCTTGGAAAACCTTCCATAGCTCACCACCCTCCCACTGTCCTGCCCCTTTTGGGGTTGTTTCCTGTGAATATGTTCTCAAAAATGGAATGAAACACAGAAAGAGCTCTCAAACCAGATTGCTTTCCAGAGAAATACCACCAGTCGACTGTGTTTGTGTGTCACCCAGTGAGGAGAGGCTATACCATTGGAAAAATAAGTGGTTAAGTGTTCTGTCTAGGCATAGAAGAGGAACTAGGGGACTCTTGCCTGAAACTTCCTTTCCCACCCTCTTGGCAGTGTTAGTGCTTTCCTGGCCCTTTTTCTGACTTCCTCCTCCTCCTCAGTGTCTTGGAGCAGAAGTGACCATGATAATGCAGAACAGGATGAACGGTTTCTGTATTAAAATATATCAGAGCCTGGCGTGGGGTGTGACTGTCCCAAGCACTTCACCAAATAATATGGCGGAGATTCACTTGCGAATTTCCCATCATGAACAAAAAGGCGATTTGGGCTTTGAAGAAAAGCCTGCCGTTTTGCAAAGAGAAATCTAACTGGAGATCTATGTGTCTATGCACTTGAATTTCAACATTGGGCTTGGGGTGCCCGTTCTGACTTCTATCGCTAACAAATTGTCACTGAAGAATAAGTTACATTTTTGCATGTCACGGCCCTTTGGCTCTGTGCATCATCTCATTTAATCCCCACAGCAATCCTTAGAGTGGACTCTATTATCATCCCCATTTTATGGATGAATAAATTGAGGCTTAGAAATATTTTTAACTTGCCCAGAGTCACACCGCTAGGAAGTGCTACAGCTGTGATATGAATTCATGTCTGTTTGATTTGATATTCTTTGTGCTTGATCTTGTCCTGCCTCTCATACTCTCACTTATGATATGGTAACTTATCTGCCACATTGACTCCAGGGTTGTTTCAAGGATCAAATGAGACCCAAATCCCAAAGTGCTTTGTAAAGAGTAGACAAAACATTGTATACATGTGTAGGCATTTTATCAACGGCAGGCATTACCATCACTTGGATTTAATTTAGCTACAGTGACTCTATACGACTCCAACAGGCCACACGTTACCTAGCCTGGCCCAAGGCTTTCTGGAGAGACTCAATAGTTTGTACCTAAGGACAATTTCACTCTGATGTTTGCAAATGCACTGCCCCTCCCCCCATCAATGGAGCTGGAAGGAGGATGATGAGGTTCACCTGCATTGATGTCCTTGATGCTGATGGTCTTCTGCATGTTTCAAATGGAGTCCGATGAATGAGATTGGGTGTGGTACTCAGAGATTCGTCTTCTCAGCCAGGCCCTGCGCCTCTGCCGCAGGTCTTAACCGTTGTCTTACCGTAGTGGGCGAGTGATGGAGGTGAGGGTAAGTGAAGCAGCAGCCACCTCGCACTTCTTTTCCTATGGGAGAGACCTGGAGTTAGACACCGTTCACCTCCATACCTGAATCAGAGACTGTTGGGAGACAGTTAGCTTTGAAAGAGGCCTTGACTATCCTCTCCCATTCCTGATTTCCCGAGGATAGCTTTATGGCTTTTTGTTAAAAAATGCACACACTGCCCTGTGTGGAGAGAAGAGAAGGAAAACTGTACGTTGTGTGTTGTATCAGATTCTGCCGTGGGAAACTGTGGAACAAAATGTCTTCAGGCACACCTGTGTGTGTGACACACCTGCCGGTGACACATCTCCCTGAGTGTGATGTGCCTCTCTGTCCCTTCCACGCATGGTCTGTAATTCTTTTCTTCCCCCCCCTTTTTTTTTTTTAATTTCCTTATGTAATCTCTACACGCAATGTGTGGCTTCAACTCACGACCCCGAGATGAACAGTTGCGTGCTCCACCGACTGAGGCAGCCAGATGCTCCTGGTCCCTAATTTTTGTAAAACTTAGGAAGTTAATACCATTATTATGGCCTTATTACAGATGAGGAACTCTATCCAGGTCCAGAGAGGTTAACTAATCTGCCTCAGGATGTACAGTTGCTAAATGAAACCACTGGGCATATTTACCTCCCCAAAGGAGAGTGGAAGAGACTGGGATTGAGAATTAAGCGACTGAGTTCTAGTTCCCAGTCTGCGCCTTCACCTAGCGGTATGACCTTGGCCACAGCTGTTTCACCCTCTACAAATTAAAGGGTCCTCTTCAGTTACTACTTTGGTTCTTTTCTGGCTTTCCCCCTGAAATCTGTGCCATTATTTTCAATTACTAGTTGTTCAGGAAAATAAAAATAGAAATAGAAACGAAAAGCGTGGCGATGCTCCCAAATCCAACATTAGATGATTGATAGTCATACAAGTTGACAAGGGACCCTTTTTCTGTTTGGCAAAGCTAAGTGTTGCTGCCACCTAGTGAGGAAAAGGAGCATGGCCTCTGGTGCAAGGTCTGGTCTTTTCTTGTGGCAGCCTAGGGAAAAAGTACCAGAAATCATTGTATTGATCAGATAATTCATGGGATTTCACAGATCTGAAACCTTGCGATGTTTCTGCAAGGCAGTCTCTCCCTTTGACTAAGGTGAGATTAGGAGAAGAACTCCTCTGGGCAGCAGCACTATTAAGTATACGTGAGCCATCTCTGGTCTCCCTCAAATTGTGCCTATATGTGTCATTTCCCACGCTCTCCCCTCCCGACCGGAATCCTAGAACCCTGGAAAGTCTGAGCAGAAGGAACCGTCCTTGGAGAGTTTCTAGGGCAACCCATTTCATAGTACAGAGGACCAGTGTTTTGACCAAGGCCACACAGGTAGTTAACATAGGCAGCGGTGACAGTAGACTGGTCCCAGAACTGCAAAAGCTGGCCTGATAAAGTCCACCCAGAATGGATGAGATTAACTTATTTGCAAAATCACCTTCCCAGGAGAATAGCTCCCAGGCCAGGAGCAAGGTTTGGAGATGTAATGAACGCTATTTACAAATTTAAAGGAAACCTGAGTAGTTCCGGTGGGGAGGAGAGCGTGGTCTGGCCCGAAACCGGGAGGAGCTGGGGCTTAGCCTACCCGCTTCCCGGAGCTTTAAGCGCTGCAGGGTGCTCCGTGCTGAATGAAGTGCTCACCGGGGCCCTGCAGGGTGCTCCGTGCTGAATGAAGTGCTCACCGGGACCCCCTGAGGCCCCCAGCGAGAGAATCTCAATTTCCGGAGAGACATTCCCACCCTTGGGGGGCGTGCCCAGGGCTCCCAAGGCATCAGGTGTAATCTTACCTTTTCCTCTGTCGCCACAGTTATCAGAATGAGAATGAAAGCTAGAATGTGTTTTAAGCAATCAGAAGTTTTCAGTACGATTATAATAAATCACCTGCAGCAAGATCACAGCTCCTAGTTGAGGGGAATCCACTTACTCTTGTAATAATTGTTCTTGGCACAGTCAATCGTCTTTAATAATAATAATAAAATGGATGATGTCACCAAGGGCTTTGCATTATGGCATTTACATCTCACAAAAGGTCAACGAGGTATTAATTGTGATCCCCATTTTGCAGCTGAGTAAGCTGAGGCTCCGAGAGCAGTTTACCCAGAGTCCCACGGTTCCCCCTGACTTTCCCAGCCCGTGATCACCACCCTGTACCGCCTCCTCCCTGCCGGCTGGGCCTCCCGGATGCGCCCGTACAGGAATCAGGAGGTGCACGGGTGGCACTCTGGCCAGGGGACACGCACATTTCCAGCTCGAGGAAGTGTCCCTCCTCGCCAGCCCCCCTCCGACCCCACCCAGAACGAGCGCAGAAGCATTCTGGTGGCAGCCGCTCCTCGGGGAGCCGATCCACCAGGCTGATAGGCTAGCTGCCTGCAGGGGGAGAGATTACCTCGGGAAAACATTTTCTCGAGTTCACAACAAAAAAAAAACGTTTGCTGGGCGCGGGCGTTCGGGGGGACAGACTGTAGGAGGACAGGTGACTAATTAAGGAGAAGAATTTTTGATTATGTGTTGTTTCAGCTGATCAGAGCGATTGCTTCTATTAACATGGATAATTAAGAACTGACTGTGTAGTTAAGTGATTCAAATCTTCCCCGCTCACGTAAACTTCTCTTCAGTAATACACAAGCACGCACAGAATTATTCACTGAAAGGGACTTCCTTCCAGTGTTTATTGTCAAGTATAATCCCATGAAATTATTGATTAGGTGAAGAGCTTCCTTTAACAAGAACATCTATCTGTCACCTCTCTCTCATCTGTCACGTACATATCTCCTCTGTAAGTTGAACAAAATGTGCACAATAGTAATGTTACTCTTGCCCCACCTCTCCCCCCACCTTTTGACTTTTTTAGGTTCCTTAGGCTAGGAATACAGGCTAAGGCTTATATAACATTTTACGCCATTTCTCTGTAGTTCTTGGTAAGGCAGAGAATAAGAAACAAGGCCATTTGGAAAATGTGAACAGGAAATAGTTGAGCACAAGCACAGAATGCTGTTACAATGAGGAAGTGAGTCGGAGACTAAAGGAAACTTTGTGTTCAGAGGGTCATCAAAAAAAGAAAAAGCCCTAGTTTTTTTGTTTTATTATTTTTTTTTTAAGGGACCCTGTCTCATGCCTCGGCCCCATGTACCAAGTGTGGACGACAAGCAGAATTTTCCACTGTTTCCTGAAATAAGCCCAAGGTATACTGACCACAAATTGCCCTCCTGGGGTTGAGATTAGGCTCATATTTCATTAAATCCCCCCCCCCACTCCCTGCTGGTTGTCTAGCAGCTTTTAGATACTCAATAAATATTGAGTGAGTCAAAATGTAATCAGGTTCCAGTCCTCAAGAATCAAGTTGCTTTTTTTCTTGTTCAACAGCAAAAGAAATGAGAAACTATAGAGACTTGATTTCTGAGTGTGAAGGGAGGCTGTAAAGATAGTAAATCTCATCTCATTTTATATGAATCATAACTGTAATAACACAGCCAACGCCGGGAATGGGCAGTTCTGGTCACAAGCCACCTTCCAATCCAGCTGACAGAAACAACTGTTTAATTAAAAAGAGAAAACTGCTTGTGTGTGTGTGTGTGTGTGTGTGTGTGAGAGAGAGAGAGAGAGAGAGAGAGAGAGAGAGAGAGAGAGACAGAGTTTAATTCAGAGATGCTAGAATTCAGAAGAGTTTTTAGTATTGAAAGAACTTTTAGAATTAGGATAGTTCGTACTACCATCAGTCTGTGCTCGGTGTGGGGATTGAGAAATTCCCAAAGACACCCCCCTTTGTCTCCCTTGCTCTCCATGCCTTCCTCCTACAGCAAGTGACAGCTACTTAAAAATCCCAGCAGGGAGATAAGATCTGGTCTCTCATGGCCTCTGTTACAAATCATGCATTTGGGAACCAGAGGGTAGAAACCACCTGAAATCTTGGCAGATAGCAATTATTATGTGCTAGGCATAATGCTGGTAAATACGCCTATGAAAAGATGCTTGACCTCATTAGTCATGAGGGAAATGCAAATTAAAGCCACAGTGAGATACCACTGCATACCGAATCAGGAGGGTTCAAACAGAAACAAAGCAAAAACAAAACTGATACTATCAACACGCTGGCAAGGATGCAGATTATTTGCACCTCTCGTACATTGCTGGTGGAAGGAGAAATCTTCAAGGAGAGCAGGATGAAAATGTGTACTAATTTGGTCTCTTGTCTAGAATGGACCTTTTCTTGTCCAGGGCTAAAGAAAGTAGCGTTATAAGTAGGTCCCGACCCAGGGCAATGGCTAAAAACAGCAGTGACCACGTGTCATGCAGTGACTAAATCATTCCAAGGTAAAATGAAGAACTTTGGAGAAACACTTAAGTTCCTAGTCTCAGCCTGAAGCCTGGTCCAAAGGTGGGCAGTTTCTTTGACCTTCTTTCTGTTAGAATTACATACTTCTAGAAACCTACTTTTTTTAAAAAAAATTATTTTTAAGTAATCTCTACACACAACAGGGGGCTCGAAACCACAACCCCCGAGATTAAGAGTCACATGCTATACCAACTGAGCCAGACCCGGGGCGCCCATGTCTCCTTTCAATTTTAAGAAATTGATCACCTTTGTAGATTGTTTTCAGTAGGGAGAAGTTTGTAAAGTGGGGAGGGGGGCGGGGAGAGGAGGAAGAGAGAGACGGAGGGAGAGACCTGTGATCATTTGGTGTAACTCCTTTTGCAGAGCCTCTGGGAGCCAGGTCGAATTCAATGTTCCCTCTAATGACTGCATCATGCAGCCTTTTAGCCCTCAGGTTTACGTGCAGATTTACCTGGTTCCAAATTAGCCCCAGGAATCTGAGCTTCCTGGGATTGGTGACCCTTGGAAACCATCTGCTGATAAGGGGATGCACGTGGGCCCAGGATTTACTGTACCTTTCTCAATCAATACTAATTACTTCCCCACATTAATGGCTTCTGCTTTCAGCAAGAATAGGGCACCTCCCCAGTTCTGCCATTTCCCTGACAACTATGAATTATAGT